CTCACATTCCATGTTCTAATTACATGTGTAGTGTTGCTTCTAACTATGATTGATTTATTGGACATGTTTTCTATCTGCCTCCCCCTCTCTAGTTGTTGGTTTTTGAGCTGTCTCACCTAAAGGGTTTTCTTGGTGAAATGGTCTTGCAAGGAGGGCCACCTTTTGCCCCTTTTCGCACTGTGCTGGCAAGTGTTAACTATGGTGACACTATTGTTCTCTGTGTGAGTGTTGGCATCAGTGGCCTTCTGGTCTTCTTTGTTGGGGAGAGCCCTGATGTTCCTGGGCTGCAGTGTTGAAGCCTCCTGGAGCTTCCCTGTTTGTCCATTACCCTTCTGGTCTTTGGAGGGAGGGGAGGCTCTGCTGTACCTGGGCTCCCAATACTGCTTCTTTGTCTCTCTGGATAGCAGCACCCTTCTGATCTTACAGGGGAGGCTCTAATTAGTTGGTGAATGGTCAGTCAACACATACATAAATCCAGTTGATTCAATGACTCTACTCTAATGGAGATAAACAATAGGATTTAGGTCTATGTTTTTCAAATAGATAGATGACAGAGAGGGAGAGGTGTAGTGGTTTGAGTACTGGACTATGACTCTGGAAACCAGGGTTCAAATCTCTGCTTGGCCATGGAAACCCACTGGGTGACCTTGGCAAAGTCCCACACTATCAGCCTCAGAGGACGGCAAAGGCAAACCTACTCTGAACAAATCTTGCCAAGAAAATCCTTTTATAGGTTTGCCTTAAGGTCACCATAAGTCAGAAATGATTTGAAGGCACACAACAACAAGAGATGAGAGAGAGAGGGAGAAGCCTAATGCTAGACACCCATATTAGAAGGTGAGTGAGATGATGGGTGGAAGTGGAAAGCCCCCAGAAGTAATGGTGAGGACACAGTAGGCACTTTCAAGCTAGCTTACTTCACAGAGTTGTTTTGTTGACAAAATGGAAGCAAAAGCTATTTTATGTCTTCCCTTGTCACAGAACTCACACTCAGCTTCCATGCAATGACAGGGATAATATTTTCCTTACCTCAATGCTAAATTAAGGTAGACATTCAGAGGTGTCTGACTGCTAATCAATGACAATTAATGAAAAATTTCATTATTTGAATGAGCAGTATGATCCCAAAAGTTCTCTTTCACACCCCTACCAAGAAATTTGTACAAGAGAATCTCCTCAAACACACACACACACACCAACACAGAACTATGGATTCTAGCCTTTATTCAATATGTCATTTTAAAATTAGCTTTGGACTTACCTGAGGACAATTTAAACATTGTTTATCTTCAAGGAAAGTGTGATGGGATGATGAGCAAATGTCATCCCAGGTCCCCATAGGCTTAACATTTTTTTTTCTACATGGTGTATTTCAAAAAGGAACAGGAGGGGAGATTCACATTCAATGCTTGAAAGGTTTAGTGATGGTATTCCAGGTTTTTTAAAAATCATTTTCTGAATTTAGAAATGTGTTTACAGGCTAAGTGTAGACTAAGATTTGTCAAATAAATTATTCATTGTGAAGTTGGTTATGTGTGTATGTTATTATTGTTGTTTTCCAAGTAAGCATTTAAATGCTAAAATCTCAAATCATTCTGGCAATGACAACTTTTATTTAATTTACTCCAACATGAAGTGACTTTAAAAAAAACACAATTTAACCTCAAATACTACTCATGGACACATGGTATTGTCAGATCCAAATCTAGCCATTCTCTGTACTCCAAAACACACTGCAAAAATAACAGCATAGGTTCAAAACATACTGCAGAAATAGTCCAAGTTGAGACCGCTTTAACTTCCCTTTCCTCAGTGCTAGGGAATCCTGGGAACTGTAGTTTATTGTGGTACCAGAGCTCTCTGAAAGAGAAGGCTAAATGTCTCACAAAACAGTTCCCAGAATTCCCTAGCATTTTGCCAGAACAGTTAAAATGGTCTCAAACTGGATTATTTCTGCAATGTGTTTTGAACCTATGTCATTTTAAGAGTTCCATGCTAGATAATAAACTGGCATGAGGCTCGCTACCCTGCTTCTCTAGGCCTGGTTTTCTCAACCTTCCCTTCCACAGAGATGAGGCACAGCCCAAGAATCACTTGCTACCCAGGTGCCTACAGCAACTAATAATTAATTAGCTGTAATTGCTTACCTTTTTTGTGTCAAGTTATATTCCAAAAGTTACCTCCCTACTGAGATTGCCTAAATGCACTGAAGATGCAAAACCCAGATGGCTGACTTATGCAGGAGAGGTATGCCATATCTCAACTATTAACCACTATAATGAGTGAGCTAGGAACTAAGAAAGTGGAAAGTGAGGGGGGAGTGACTAGCCAACCAACATGGCAGTCTCTTAAAGAAAGAGCTGGATCTCAACAAATTTCTCACAAATGGGGCTTAATTAAGCAGAGATTGCATCTCAAAACAACATACCTGATGCAAGGAACAAAATGCTTTGCAGATCAACCAATTTCAAGATTATACCCCATGGCTAAAGAAAACAAAATCCTACCAGAAGAATCACACTCACTGAATAAAACTGCCTTGACATATTGATTGAACAGAGGGAGTAAAGGAGGGAGAGGAGACCACATTCCAACTTCAGATCTATCTTTCCCTGAACTTTTAGAGAAGCTTCGATAGAACTTGGTAAGAGATCTCCAGAAAGACTCTAGATGTGAAGTTATCAGCACTAACTAGGGGTATACATGATATAGAAGAGACAGCAAATGCAGATCTTCAACAGGGGACTTTACATGAAGACATAATACAGAAACTAGAGCAGGTAAATGATTACCTCCAAAACAAGATTGA